TTTTTTGTACATGACTAAAGGGATACACGCCTGTTGAGGTAGTTTAAAGTCTAGTTTTTGTAAAAAACCAAAGGATAAACACACATCTGACTTGGTGCGCATGTGTATTGACTATGGGTATGCTGGTCTGACGGGGTATGCTCATCTGACAGAACACCAGCGGCTGGAAAGAAACTATTTCACTTAAAGAAAGAAAGAAGACCAAGAAAAAATAAAGTCCAAGAGAAAAACTTACAAGGAAGAAAAGGAAACAGATTTCTTGGAATAACAGGAGGCCCTGATGGAGAGATGATGAACTGGGAGACATTTGGAGCTGGAGAGATGATTACTGGGTAGAGAGCAGGTAGCTGATTAATACCAGCTGTGAAGGAAACTGGACTTAAACTGATGAGAAACAACAGATGGAGGCCAGGAAACAAAAACCAGAAAATAACAAAAGTAACCACAGCCCATCTTAGGAAAATTCAATTCATATCAACTAAGTTAGTAAAGAAACGCTTTAAAAGACGCAACTGGAAAACATGAGAGAAAGAGAACACAAAACTAAATAAAATACTGTTTACTAGAACTATGATCTACAGAGTAAATTAAACGACAGACTTTAGATAATCAGCAGAATTAGACAACAAAAGGTTGAGGAAACTCTGGGATGTAGTAAACCGGTCCTGAAGGTCTGGAATGGTGAATGGTCTGAACTCATAGAGAGCTTTTTCCTCCGCTGTAGCTGCTGTTGTCCTGCAGCTTTGGATTCATCTCTGATGCTTCAACCTCCCAAGCTAAAATTGGTTGAAAAGACATGATTTGAAATGACGTCTACATTTGGTTGAAAAGTGAATTTTCAGATCATTGAAAACTGAGTTTGCAAATTCTTTTCAACATCTATTATTGGACTAAAGTGGGACAAAGTCGGAACCAAACTGCCCAATTTTCAACAACTATATCTGGACTAAATCCAGACTATGACGAACCGACCAGATGTGGCCTAAAAACCAACGTCTGAATGTTTGGCGGAATGAGCTCCTCAGTATGCAGCCCCCCCTCCTCCAGAGTCCTGCTAATGACCTGCTCTTTGGATTCAGGCTGTTTAAGCAGAGACACGTCTAAAAGGTCCAGGATCTTCAGGACTGGCTTAGAGTCACTATAACACTGCCCCCGAAAAACTAACCGTTAGCACTAACCGTCTATTTCCCATGAAGGGTCCAACACATTAAGTGCCGTCCCAAACCATGTAGTGGGTACCAGCGAGTGAACCGTTCAGCCGTTAGACAGGGAGTCTCTATCAGTGCAGGATCACTGGAGTTTGGCAGCAGGTGTAACGGCGGCCTGATGGTAGAGGAAGAACATTCTTCCAAATGTAAGTTCCGCTGGTTTGCTGCATCTTTATCACACTGACAGAAAATAACAAGTTACAAATATAAAAAAACGTATTTAATTCCCAAATGGAAGGTCCTCTTTGAAAAATAGTTTTATTTGACCGTATACATTTGTTTTTAGACAGGGGCAAATGTTTGATTTTATGTCCACTAAGCTACAGCAACACACAAGGAGTCACTGTGTTGCCATAGCAACGACTGCTTTCCTTTTCTGTTGGAGGGAAAAGGCCGTCACATTCTCGTTTACGCTCCCCCACCTCCAATCAAGGTACCTTCCACAGCAGCGAGTGACTCTTCATTGGGAGTGAGACTTGGTAGTCAAGGATTAGTGCTTAGGGGTCGGTTTGGGATTCAGCATTTGAGCCGATTTACCAGAGCCTCGAGTACTGAGCATGTGCAAACAAGGGAGTTCTTCTTCTTGTTCCAGATTGCAGAGTCAGACCAGCCATCTCTCGGCGCTGAAGCCAATGTGTGGTTTTTGGACGTAAAGTGTGAGCAGGTAGATCACGTCAGAGCGTTACAGTGGAACAACAAGCATTGTGAGCTGTGAACTTTGGAACTCTGCGATTTCACTTGAAAGTATCGTACAGGGTATGACTGACTGACACTTCAGGGAGTTCTTTTGCTAACTTGATCAGTTCCAGGCTATACTGTAGAGGCAGGGTTGGGCTGAAAATCCTGGTGTTTAGTTTTAACTCTGATTCACAGTGGTGAATGGCCGCTTGTTGAACTTCTATCACTGGTCACCTCCAAAATTTTACTAATGCTAACATTCAAATGCAAGCATAAACCCAACCAGCTTTTGTTTAGTGTCTTAATGTAGCATCCTAAACGTTCGCCTTCTTCTTCCCCACTGCTGCAGTATCCCAGCTTCCAAGCAGAGCGGTCAGAGTCAGACATGGAAAGTCCGTGGGGCAGCAGTCCCCTCACAGACTCGGCTTCCCCTCAGCTGGAACGCAGCGAAGGCTTGGACGCCTCGTGCATCTCCAGGAACTTTTCTGATCCACGCCACCTCTGCCACAGCTTGTCTGAAGAGCAGCATCACAGCGTCAGAGATTTCCACACACACGGTCAGGGGCAGAGCTGTGAGAGGGCTCGATGTGATGCAGGCAGATACTTTGTCGGCGCTCCTCCAGCCTGCAGGGACACGTGGTTCGCCTCGGCCCGTCCCTTCGTCCCGCTGGCTAAGGGTTGCTTCGACGGCCACAATGGATACAGCGGCAGCATTGGGCGCATCCCAACAGTCCTGAGTGAGCAAGGTGAGGACTGACCTCGCGGCCTGTGTCCTGGCTGCACAAATGTAACTTGAGGTGGATTCTTGAAGAAGCTGCTTCCAGTGATATGGATTCAGTTTCTCTCTTTAATGGTCCTGTTGTTGCTCCCTCTGTAGGCGCAGCCCACTGGGAGGAAGACAGCATTGTCAGCTCCCCAGATGGTGGCTCGGCCAGTGACTCAGGGGACCGCTATCGGGCAGATCGCTACTCCTGCAGCCCAGAGGAACCCAGTAAGATCGAGTCTCTGATCAGGGCCACCCAGCAGATGATCAAGGAGGAGGAGAGTCGAACACAGTTGGCAAAGGGCTTTGAAGACACACCGCCAGGGCTTGCCAGCGGACTGCAAAGGGCGGCTGCTTCATGCTTCACCGCAGAGTACTCTCAAGGGCCCCCACAGACTATGGTGTACAGGAGCTTTAATCAAGTGATCAGCCCTAATCCTAGCCCCACCCCTCTGTCCAGACTTAGCAGCCCTGGTGCCGAGCGTTTGCACAAGCCCAAAGACTACCTCCAGACCAACATGACTCCCCTTTCCTTGCAGTTGCACCACCCTTTAGGTCGGTTAGGACCATGCTCAGCCTCCCCCACACAAGCCCCCGCACTCTACCCCTCTCACAGCCATCCACGTTCCTATGTAGACAAACATCCTGCGTATTCCCTGACGGGCTACACCCTGGAGCACCTGTACGACCCTGAGAACCTGCGGGGCTGTTGCTCCTCTGTTAACACTGAACCCACCCACTACGACCACTTCCTCACACCAGGAGAACAAAACCCTGGACATAAAGGCCCCTCGGTCATTATCAGCAACAGCAGCTAACGCTCCATAACCCCCACCCGGTTGGGGCGGAGCCACAAAGCTACCTGAGCTAGCTGGCTCTGTGGCCGAAGGGAGACTTCTTTTAGTCTGTAAGGAAGCAACAAACCAGGCATCCATTATAATGTTTGTTTCTGTGGGAATGTGAAAAAACACCAGTGCCTGAAATCTGAGCAGATCATTCAACATCCTTACAGCTTACCTCCGTAATTTCTGCTGAACGACAGGATCTGATCCCAACGCTGACCTAGAGAGACCAGGCAGGAGTCGCTCTCCTCATTCAGAGTCGTCCTCTCATCCTCACGTCTTCCTGTAATCCGCTGGTTTCCTACGCTGCTCCTCATGTACCCTGTCCTGCATGTTTTAGCTGTCTGCTCGATGCATCACACCAGAAAACATCCGATCATAAACAGAAACTCACCTAAAACCTGCAGGGCTGGGAACCGCTGCTAATCACTGAGGCCACAGCCAGCACCGTTTCAGTCTAAAGCAAAGAGCTTTTTCACTGACACCATTTGATTAAAAGCTCAAACCCAGAAACCAGGCCTGTTCTGGTCCTGAAGCAACCAATAATCTGTTAGATGGAGCTTTCACTCCTGTTTTGAATGTGCATCAGTAAGATGCAGGTAAAGGAAAATGCTAATTAGAAGCTTGTTATGTTTTATATAGGAAACGAAGGAGTAGATCGCGGCTTCACCTGAAACACACCAGAGAAAGAACAGTCTGTGATGTTAAACATGTGAGAATCCTGTCCTAAAAACATTTTACTATGCAGTCAAAGGAATCATATTAAGATCTTCTTCATCCTCTCTGAAACGCTGGATGAAGAAGGTAAAGAGTCACCACCATCCATATAAAAGTCCCTGCATTTGTTAATCAAATGGCTGAATTCCTGAGCCTAGACCATTTTAACGAGTCTTTTATTTGAAAAAGAGCTAATAGGAGACATGCAGAAGCATCAACGAGCCAGGAATCGAACCCACAACAGCGACCGTCTCATACAATAGTGATGCTTTTAACCCCTGTGCCACCGCCGCTCCGCAACAATCCGGTCCTCGTGTAACTTTATTTTAGGTCAGAGAAATTATTATTTAGATTTTTATTAAAAAATAAATTTTCCTGTAATTAGTTTCCTGAGCTTGACCAATCTGCTTCAACCTGCACTGAATCATGGGACATAATACGATACTGTGTGCCGGATCCATCCTTCTAATCAGCTGAAGCAATGAGGCCTGTGAGGGAGTCTGATGCTACGTTCAGACCGCACGCTGCAGAGGCAGCAGAAGCAGCTGGTTTACATGCAGAGGCAATGGTTGACGCGCATCAAGGAGCAACAAAAGGTCCCACAGAGCGTTTTGAGCAGCTTCTGAGCAGCTGATGAATGTGATGCACTTCAGAAGCAGCAGCTGCTGGAGTTGGAAAATGTAACTTAAGCTGCTGGACGCCGCATCAACCAATGAGAGAAGCTGATCTGGGAGCTGGCAGGGAGTCAGACGCAGCACTGCTGATGCAGAGCGCTATGATCACTCCTCTGAAACAGTTTATTAACGCCTAAATTAACTCAAAATGGAGAAACCTGCCGGCAGAATATGTTGGCTTTTATTATCCTGCTGCCTGCAGTTTGTAGCACAGACCTGAAAAACGCTAACATCTACTTCCAGCCGCCACCAACAGGAGGGGAAAACCCTGGAGAGGCGAGCGGGCCTGAGGCAGCTGCTGCTGGGGATTCCCAGTGACAGCGCAGCGCCGGTATGTGGGGGTCTGAGCGGCTCCCACAGAGAAATAATCTTTGAAGGCAGGATGGTAATCTGGATGAACTGACTGCACAGACCATGTTTTCAGGAGGACTTTCTCACTTCAACATAGATTCTAACTACTTTCTACCCGCTGATCACAGCTAATACAGCCGCCATTGTTCCAGGCAGAGAAAGGATAGAGTAGCTCCGCCCACCACGCATCAGACCCACTTTTCCACCGCGCAGCTTCAGCCGCGCATCAGAACTAAACCTGTACAAGCATCAAAAATGAAGCAGCACGCGCGTTTTAGCTGCTCCTGCTGCGTGCGATCTGAACGTAGCATTAGGAGGATTGGAGGATTGTGGCAGCATTCGGCACAGCGCTGTGACGTAACCCTCCCCAAACACCAGACGTAATTGAGATGGTTTTTAGGCTAAATCTGCTCGGTCCGTCGTAGTCTGGTTTTATGTTTGCTTGTGATTTTGAGAAATGATTTCGTCCCACTTTAGTCGATAGAATAGATTATGAAACTTACGGCTTTTCACTTTTCAACCAAATGTAGACGTAAATCATGTTGTCCTTATAATGACTTTTCAACCAATTCTTTGCTCGGTGGGATGCGTATAAAAACATGAGCCTTGAACTGGGACACACCCAGTGGTTACCAGTCCCCTCCAGGAAGCACCAACCTTAACAGCCACTTCTCCAACCCTTAGAGCTCAATCCTTTCTGCTGAAATTTAACTGGCTGTCTTAGCAGTAATAAGATGCTGCTTTCAAACCGGACAGCGTGTCAAAAAAGACGCAGAGCTCCCAACCAGCATCAAGATGCAGAGTCCCAGAAGAGTGAAACGTACCTTAGGGCAGGACCCCTTGATGTGTCCACCGTAGACTTTGAATGAAAATCAGGCCCGCTGACGCTCAAACCACCTTCAGGTTCTGCACATAAGCTTAGAAAATGTGTTTCCAGGTTGCAAGAGGTCTCAGCCTTCCTGGAGGAGAGCTTAATAGCTCAATCACCAGGAGTGGAGAGGCTCTCATATGGGAGAGACAGACCCACCAGAAAACAACTAATATTTCACAACAAATGAAAACTTCATGGTCATAGGCGGCTCTAGACATGAGCCAAGAGGGGCCAGTGCTTTGGCCCCTGCACTGTAAACATAATGCAATATGATGATTTACTGGCACAGAAACAGTAGCTGATTAGCTCTGTGCGACGGTCTGTTTGCACCTGAAGCCAAAACACGCAGCGCCACAGCCAGTCTTTGGAGAACACTGGTGGGTAACTGTGTAGACGGTGAACAAGCTCATCACACCGACACACGGACACCCACAATCCTAGCTAGTTCCTGATTGGCCCTCTTGTGTTGTGGCGTGGAATAACACGCTTCAATATTGGGCATAAATCAAAAATATCTGCTTTATATCTGCAACAAGCTAACTGCAGCACAATTAAGATTAAAAATCTGTAAAATTCTGTCTGTTCAACTGATTCAGATGTTAGAAAACTTTAATAATAAAGAAGAGACTGAGGGTGATTTGTTTGGAGCGTCGCTGTCCGTCTACCCGACTCGTCCACAGCATCCACCTGTTAGAGCGGACTGAGTTTCCAACATTTCATACTGGAATCAATGCTTTCAGTTAAAGTTATCTCCTCTGATTTGATCATTGTTGCCGAGGAAACGCTTTACTGCACAGGTTAATCCTGGAAACTACAGGGTGTCCGTTTTAACCTCACACACTAATATGCAAAAGCCATTCTTGTCACTTTCTCACTCATTGTTTGAAAAAAGAGATAAGAAACAGGATAGATGCACTCATGACCTTCATATGACATGACAGTGATGTCCGGACGGCGGCTGGAGGCAGATTGGGTCTGTGTCCATATGCAACTCGTTGGGATGTCAGGCCAGGCAGCTGGAACGACCCGTTCAGCGGTGAAGCGATGTTGGCATATTTTTTACTAAACGATTCAAGTGTCAATATTTCCTTTTTTATGTCCTTCTCAGCTTCTAAATGAACCTATATTTATACAAGTTTGGACTTTTTTTAAATTTGATTTGCCAAAGCCTGAAACGTGTGTCATTTCTTAATGTTATTTATAATATTACTGTAAATATGCTCAGAAAAGAAATTTCATGTGTAATCACATGTGCAAAAAGTGTATTTATTGAATAAATGTCTTCATGTGATTTTTGAGAAATGAGTTTGGAGAAACCTGCAGTCAGCTCCAGTCTAACAGCTTGTTTAATGAGTGTGTTTGACATATTCTACAAGATCACTAAATAAACCCTTTTTGCAGGGATGTCTCAATTTCTTCTTCTATCTGTTGCTTTTCCTGGTTTATTATCCAGCAGCTCAATTCATCAAATCCTAATGATTGTAAAGAAAAAAGGCAGAATTTTGCCAAGCAAAGATCTCAGAATCCAGTCCTGAATGTCCGAGTCCTGCAGCTGTTGGATGAGTTTCTGCTTTAAAGGAAA